GAATTATTATTATTGCACAAAGGTTTTGAAGAGAAAAGGAAAAAAGGATAGAAAGAAAAATCTCAGGGGCTGGCCCCGTGGCCGAGTGGTTAAGTTCGCGCGCTGCGCTGCAGGCGGCCCAGTGTTTCGTTGGTTCGGATCCTGGGCGCGGACATGGCACTGCTCATCAGACCACGCTGAGGCAGCGTCCCACATGCCACAACTAGAAGAACCCACAACGAAGAATACACAACTATGTACCGGGGGGCTTTGGGGAGAAAAAGGAAAAAAAAAATAAAAAAAATCTAAAAAAAAAAAAAAATATCTCTTTAAAAAAAAAAAAAGAAAAATCTCAATAAAAGATTAAAAGGTAAAGTTGAGGAAATCTCCTAGAATGTTGAGCAGAAAAGTCAGAGAGAAAAAAGAAAGTCATAGAGATGGAAAATAGAGGCAAAAAAAAAAAAAAAAAAAGAGAGGAACTGTCCAGGAGGTCCAGCATCCAAATAATAGGCATTTCAGAAAGAGAACAGCAAAACAGAGGAGGGAAATCATCAAAGAAACAATTGATGAAAATTTCCAGAAACGACGAATAAGAGTCTCCAGATTTAGAGGGACCAGCAAATGCCCAACACACTGGAAGAACAGAGACCCACACCAAGATCCAGGCTAGTGAAGTTTCAGAGCTACAGGGAGAACTTCCAGAAAGAAAGCAGGTTTCAGACCAAGCACCTGGGTCCTTGAAAATGTCATCAAACCTCTGATTTAATCAGCTCTGAAACTGCCATGCTTCTTATCATATGAGATAATAAATTCCTTTTACCTTTAGGTTCCAGCCAGATCCTCTACTACAAATATAGGCAGAAAAAGTCATAAACTCATAAGCATTATATAAAATATTACTTATTCTGCTTATTAAAAACAATTGAGAGCGCAACCATTTCACACACATCTTATCTCCTTTAATTCCCGATGCATTCATTCAATGAGGCACAGCAGGATTTAGAATCTACATGTGGCCAGATTGAAGACTCTTGGATTACAGAGGAGCCTGCGAGGGATTCCGATGATCTTCTCTAATCAGCCTTCCTTCACTTTGCCTGGATACCTGATTTTCTGCCAATGTGAAGGCAGCTGCCCGAGACCTGTGACCAGCCACCAGGATGGAGGAAGTCAATGGTGAAAAATAAATGTGGCTAGATTCCTACAAACTTACCCTCATCAGTTGGAAGAAAAATGGATTCAAAGCTTGTAATTGCAGTTTGGGACACACGATCGGCTAAGAGCAGGGAATCCCACCTTCCACTGGGTGGTTCTCCAAGATGGTTGCCCATCTGACAACCCAAAACAATCTGGGCACTGCTGAGAGCTCAGGGACTGGTGTGATGAGAAAGACCAAAGCTCCATCAATATGCTACTTATCTCAAAGCCAGTCATGGTTGTTACCTCCTATGGTTTCTGAGAGCTTGGAGCCAAGGTCCTCAGCAATTGGGTGAACATGTGTGTGAGGGAGAGTGAGAAAGAAGATGAGCTCGGCAAGGCTTCCCAAAGCTTTTTGTAGAGTTTATGGACACATTCAGATTCACCCTGTGTCTGCGTGGAAGTTCTGCACATGTCACAGCTAGAGAGAAAACCCTGCACTTTGGCAGCCACCTGGGTCAGATGGTTGGAGGAAGCTGTTGCATCTGTCCCGTATCTGCTGGGTATCGGGCACCTTTATGCTTTTTGGGGGTTGAAGAGAAGGGACCCAGGATCCTCCAGCGACTCCCCTCCAGGTCTTGGTATTATGAGAACATAGTTCACCTCCTTTGTAGAACTCTCCCTAGTGTGAAATTCATCACCAAGCCTAACTGATTCCATTTTCCTAACCCATCCTCTTCCCATGGCATCTTCCCCAGCTACTATAAGCCCCTTAAAGACAGAGATGGGGTATCATTGTACACCCAGGGCCTGATGCACAGCGTCATGCACATCATCCCCAATCCCCAGGGTTCACGGAATGACGCACGCCCTAACCTGGGGATTGAGGAGGCTCTGGGAGTTTGCAGATTTCAACAGCAGGGAGTGCCACCCAACTGCTTCCAGAAGACATACAAGAGAGAAGGAGGGAGGTGGGTATGATCATTACCTACGTCTAAAAATCCGACATGACTAATTAACTTACAAATGCCAAAGTCACCACAAATGGTGGGTGGACGGAAATGATCTGGGGAGGGGAGGAAAAGCACAGACAGGCGATCTTTCAGATTGTTGAAGGAAACCAGGAAGCGGAGAGTGCAGGGTTGCATTAAATGTGGGAAATGTAAACTGTGAGCTGTCTCCAAGGGCTTCCGGTCCAGCTGGGTGGGTCCACATAGGAGACTGTGGGGTACGTGAAAGGCCACCGTGAGACTTGCAGAGGGTGATGCCAGGGCTGTTCAAAGTGACCTGGCTGCAGAAGTCAATCTGGTTCTGAATCTGAACACTGTCCCAGCCCTTTGTGTGACTTTGAGCAAGGCACTCTTCAATCCGCAGTTTCACATCTCTAAAATAGGGACAATAATATCTACCTCAGAGGGTTGTGGTAAGGACCAAATAGGTCACAAGTGAAAGCGTCCAGTGGTTTCTGGCGCTTAGGACATGCTCAGTCAAAGTAAGTTTGCTATCATTATCTCATTTGCTGGCTTGTGCAATGCATTCTTCTCTTCTGAACCTCAATTTCTTCATCTGTAAAAATGGAATATGTGAGAGTGGCTGGCATGTAGTTGATGCTCAGTAAAGGTTTATTTTTAACTTTTTTGACTTTTGTTTTGGAACGATTTTAGACTTAAAGTTGCAAAATACTAGAGTTCCCCTATACTTTACACCCACGTTTCCCCTAGTGTTAACATCGTATGTAATCACAGTACAATGATCAAAACCAGGAAATTAACACCGGCACAATCCAAGACCGTTAACTAAACTGCAGACCTTACTCTAGTTTTTCTGATGTCCTTCTCTGTTCCAGATTCCACATCAGGATCCCGTGTTCCATTTAGTTGTTGGATCCCTTGGTTTTCTCCAGTTTGTGACGGGTCCTCAGTCTTTCTTTGTCTTTCATGACCTTGACACTTTCGATGAGTACTGGTCAATTACTTGGAAGAAGTATTTCTCTATTTAGGTTCATTTGATGTTTTCTCATGATTAGATTAGGATATGCACTTTTGGGAGAAACACCGGAGCAATGATGTTGTGTTACTTTTTTCCCGCCTTTATCATGGTAAAATATACATAACATAAAATTTACCATGTAAACTATTTTAAAGTGTATAATTTAGTGGCATTTAGCATATTCACAGTGTTGTGCAACCACCACCCCCATCTAATTCCAGAATGTTTCCATCACCCCTAAAAGAAATCCCTTACACATTAACAGTCACTCCCCATTCCCACCCCTCCCAGGCCCTGGCAATCTCTAATCTGCTTTCAGTCTCCATGGATTTCCTATTCTGGACATTTCGTGGGAAAGGAATCATACAATATGTGGTCTTTCCCAGCTGGCTTTTTTCGCTTAGCATCATGGTTTCAAGGTTCATCCGGGTTGCAGCATGAATCAGTACCTCATTCCTTTTTATGGCTGAATAATATTCCATTATGTGGACAGACTACATTTTACTTTATTTTCTAATTCAACAGTGAAACCTGGGTGGTTGCAGGGCTGGGCCTGGAAGGTGAGGGAAGGAGGGAGGAGACCTCTGTGATTGGCAGAACGTATTGGGACATGTGGGGAGAAGGGCCAGGATTGGTGCACTGGGGAGTATAGGACTGAACGCGTTGAAGGAAATACTTACGGAGACCACTGCAGGAGTGCCGGATGCGTAGCCGACTCCTTTGAAAATTTCATGTGTGGAAAGAGAAAAACAGTTGTTCATTAGGAGGGGGAGATGACCCAAGCATGGGAAGGGAAACTCTCCAGGGCTGAAGGAGCTGGTTTTCAGGGGCACCAGCTTTCTAGGGCCAACGAAGGCCCCCTGGAGGCCGGCTCAGCGGGGGCACTAGAGGCTGGGGCTCGCTTTGCGGTGGTCGCCCGGGGAGCACACTCAGGAAGGGGCTAATGCCCCCGAGACACGTGCTCACTGCTTATATAGAAAGGGGCGCCTCCCTTTAGGCAAATACAACAGTTGCAAACTTCCATTTATTAAAAAAGGTGTGCTGAGGGGGAGGGCAAACATTTTCATTTCCTAAACGTCGCACCCCAGCTGCTCGTTAACTACCAGGCGCCCTTAGATTTCCCTGAGCAGGTCTGGGGGCCGAGCCTCGAGGAGAGGTGGTCTCGCAGCCCCGCAGCCCTGCAGTCCCCGCAACGCCCGCAGCGGGCAGCCTGGGCGGGGCGCGGCCTGAGGCGCAGGGCGGAGGGCGGAAGGCGGAGCCGCCGCGCGCGCCCGGGTCGACCCCGCAGCCCCGCCACCCCGGCGCGCGCATCGTGCGCGTGCCCGGGGCCGGTAGCGGCGGCGTGCTCGAGCCGCGCGTGCGCGCTGCGGCGGGGCGAGGGGCGGCGCGGGCGCGAGTCTGTCAGTGACAGCGGGAGGGGGAGGGGGCCGGAGATGGTGGCGGCGGCAGCGGCGACGGCTGTGGCCGCTCTTCCGACATGAGGCAGCGGCAGCGGGCGGCACGGCGGCGGCCGCGGCCGCGGCGGCATCGTTAGCTCGGGAGGCCGCCCCGGGCGTGGGCGGGCGGGCGTCCCGGGTCGGCGTCGCGCGAGCGGGCTCTGCGGCAGCGCCGCGCAGGGGCCGCCGGCTGAGGGGCCCGCGCCCGCCGCGCTCTGCGCTCGGCGCCGGCGGCTCGGGGGCCCTGGGCATCCCCGCCCGCTCGGTCGGCCCCCGAGGCGGGAGCGGGCGGCGCGGCCGGGAGCAGGCCCCGCTAGACGGGCCGCGCGCCGCGGGCTCCGCCAACTCGCGCGCGGCGCCGGGGCCTCGCTGCCGGCCCCTCGCCGCCCGCCGCCGCCTCCCGCGGGGCCGCCTCCCGCGGGGCGGGGACCGAGGGGTCCGGCCGCCGGCCTTGACGCAGTGGAGGCGCCGCTCCGCGCGGCATGAGGGGCCCGCCGCCGCCGCCGCCGGGAGAGCCGTGTGTACGAGAGCGGCGGGCTGCGTGAGGGCGCGGGCTGCACTTCCCTCGGAGCCGCGGCGGCGGAGCAGGCGAGTGTGCGCGGGGGGACGCGCGGGGCGCGGGCGGCGCTGTGGGCTCAGGGGTGTCCCCGGTCCGCCCCAGCTGCTGGGTCGGCCTGGAGGTGGGACGGCGGAGCACTGATGAGCCAGGCTCCACAGTTCTGTGAGCATATGGTGCCTTTCCGAGTCGAGGCTGGGGCCGCCGCTCAGGAAGCTGGTGGATCTGTGGCCTTCAGGTGTGTGTGCCCGTGGGGGAATAAACGCCACTGACGCTGGGTGTCTCGCTGACAGGTCCCAGTGACCCCGGCCGGGGAGGCTCCGAGCGCTCGGCAACATGGCTTCTCCGCCCCACCAGCAGCTGCTGCAGCACCACAGCACCGAGGTGAGTTGTGACTCCAGCGGCGACAGCAACAGCGTGAGGGTCAAAATCAACCCCAAGCAGCTGTCCTCCAACAGCCACCCCAAACACTGCAAGTACAGCATCTCCTCCAGCTGTAGCAGCTCCGGGGACTCGGCGGGGGTCCCCCGGAGAGTGGGCGTCGGAGGCCGCCTGCGCAGGCAGAAGAAGCTGCCCCAGCTGTTCGAGAGGGCCTCCAGCCGGTGGTGGGACCCCAAGTTCGACTCGGTGAACCTGGAGGAGGCTTGCATGGAGCGCTGCTTCCCGCAGACGCAGCGCCGCTTCCGGTATGCGCTCTTCTACATCGGCTTCGCCTGCCTTCTCTGGAGCATCTATTTTGGGGTCCACATGAGATCCAAACTGATTGTCATGGTCGCCCCTGCTCTGTGCTTCCTCGTGGTGTGTGTGGGCTTTTTTCTCTTTACCTTCACCAAGCTGTATGCCCGGCATTACGTGTGGACCTCGCTGGTTCTCACCCTCCTGGTGTTCGCCCTGACCCTGGCTGCCCAGTTTCAGGTTTTGACGCCTCTCTCAGGACGGGTTGACAGCTCCAATCATACACGGGCAGCCAAGTCCACAGACACTTGCTTATCTCAAGTGGGGAGCTTTTCCATGTGCATCGAAGTGCTCTTTTTGCTCTACACCGTCATGCACTTACCTTTGTACTTGAGCTTGTTTTTGGGAGTGGCGTATTCTGTTCTTTTTGAGACCTTTGGCTATCATTTCCGAGATGAAGATTGTTTCCCCTCGCCTGGGGCAGGGGCCCTGCACTGGGAGCTGCTGAGCCGGGCCCTGCTCCACGTCTGCGTTCACGCCATCGGGATCCACCTGTTCATCATGTCCCAGGTGAGATCCAGAAGCACCTTCCTCAAGGTGGGACAGTCAATTATGCACGGGAAGGATCTGGAAGTGGAAAAAGCCCTGAAAGAGAGGATGATTCATTCTGTGATGCCAAGAATCATAGCTGATGACCTGATGAAACAGGGGGATGAAGAGAGCGAGAATTCTGTCAAAAGGCATGCCACCTCCAGCCCCAAGAACAGGAAGAAAAAGTCTTCCATACAGAAGGCCCCTATTGCATTCCGCCCGTTTAAGATGCAGCAGATCGAAGAAGTCAGTATTTTATTTGCAGATATCGTGGGCTTCACCAAGATGAGTGCCAACAAGTCTGCTCACGCCCTGGTGGGTCTCCTCAATGATCTCTTCGGTCGCTTCGACCGGTTATGTGAAGAGACCAAGTGTGAGAAAATCAGCACCTTGGGGGACTGCTACTATTGTGTGGCAGGGTGCCCCGAGCCCCGGGCCGACCATGCCTACTGCTGCATCGAGATGGGCTTGGGCATGATAAGAGCCATTGAGCAGTTCTGCCAGGAGAAGAAGGAGATGGTGAACATGCGCGTTGGGGTTCACACGGGGACCGTGTTGTGCGGCATCTTGGGCATGAGGAGGTTTAAATTTGATGTGTGGTCCAATGACGTGAACTTGGCCAATCTCATGGAGCAGCTGGGAGTGGCTGGCAAGGTTCACATTTCTGAGGCCACTGCAAAATACCTAGATGATCGGTACGAAATGGAAGATGGGAAGGTTACTGAACGCCTCGGCCAGAGTGTTGTTGCCGACCAGTTGAAAGGTATGTGCGTTTCTTTGCCCTGTCACCTCCCTCCCCAATCCTGTGTGTGTTGAAAAAAACAAAACAAAAACAAAAACAGTCTCTCTCCAGTGTCAGTATCTGGAGGCAGATCAGTTGCCCCAGGACGCCTCACCGTGGGGCATCTCACGGCCAGTGGGACTTTTCCTCCAGTGAGTCAGATATCACAGATCTGTTCACACCATGACAGCGCTGACCTAGATGAGACCTTTAGAAGGAAGGAGAACTTTGAAAATGCATATCCTGCCAGCAGGCTGTTAATGTTTGTGAAATTCTGGGGGCAGGTCTGATGAGTGGAAGGAGATCGAGCCCTTCAGCAGTCACATCTGTGAAGCACTTGAAGAAATTGTCTTTGTGTTTCATTTGGTCCCACCAAAACCTTTTTCTGTGCCTTTTTCCGAAAATGTGAAGAATAAAACCTTTCTCCCCTCTAGGCCTCGCTTTGCTGAGATAAGGAAGTCGCTCAGACTCTTGAGATTTAGATGGAGTTATATACCCCTCAGTGCATACTGCCTTTGCTTAGGTCTCTTTTAAAAAATGTTTGCACTTTCACCTTTCATTTATTTAATGATGCTTTCTTATCATGTTATTTGTCTTACCCTATAGACCGCAGCGTTTAGTGGAACTTCTCAAGCCACCAGGTGATTTGAAAGTGAGAAATGCATCCAGGGCCGTGTTTAGACCCCCGTCCCCCCAGCCCCTCAGATTTGTATCTGGTCCCTTAAGCTCCTTACTGCCATTCTTGATGTTTTCACTGGGCTTCTTCTTTTATTTTGTTTTTCTTATGTAGGACAAAAATCTCTGAGGTCTTGGAAGTGATAGCTAAGTAAATGCAACCAAAAGTAAGGATTCTAAATAACTACCCACTCCCCCTTTTAAACAATCCTTATGTTTTTCTAAAGTGTTCCAGATTGAGGGGAACATCAGTTTTGGAAATGCATAAGAAAATAACATTGATTTTTAAAAGCCTAAATTTGTAAAGTTGTGTTGTGTTCTGTGGTGCCCACAGGTTGCATAATTACACAGTAAAAAGCCCCAGGAAAGGGTATCCTCAGAAGGAGAAGTCACAGCTTAAATCAGAGATGAGAGAAGCAGACTATATGAATCAGAGCCCGCAAGTGCCTGAGTTTGAGGCCTGAGTAGGTTTCAGCCTTGACATAACCTTGTGTGCTCAGTTGTTTTCTTTCTCTGCTGTGACTGGAGTTCCCCGTGTCTTTTACTTATTTGTTATATGGCAAGGGTGCTTTATCCTTCTCTTGATTTTTCTTTATTCCATTAATTTTGTTAGCAGTTGATGAATTTATGGATGTAGTAGAAAAATATTTTTTGCCTGATAATGCCCTCTACCAGAGAGCTTGGAATGCCACCCTGATGAGGTCAGAAGCTGCGCTTTGCAGTTCGCTTGAGAGATGATCTTTGCTGTGGGAGGGTGGCTCCCCCTCCGTCTGAAGGTGCCAGTGGAGTGGGGTGTCAGTGGATGGGAACCTTGCTCACTATTTTGGCATCTTTAGGATCCCTAGTGTTGCTGGCTCTGTCCTCAGGGATTGTGGGACGGACTCCAGAGAACGGAGCTGTGCTGTATACGTTAAATTAAGTATGACAATGATAGCAGTTTTGTAAGTGGTACTGTGAACAGTGTGTTTCTTGAATTCCAAAATAAAAAAAGATGTAATCATTAAGTATATCTGGAAGTCGCCAAGTCTTTTAACTCTTTGGCCCTACCCATTTTTGTTAATTTATGGGTATTTTTATTTTCAATTTATGGATCAAGGGTCTCAAAAACACTGACAAAAAATACTAGAATGGGTTTGTTGATTTTTTTTACCTCAAAGGTGTAAATTTGATAAATGAATTTTGTCTTTAAATTTGAGTACACTGTATGTTTATGAAGGAGAAGTTTTGGTACTGGATGGGAGGTAGGGAAAGACAGAAGGCTTAGCTAAACTGGTGATTTTTTTATACGGTATTCTCTCCTTTAACTGTTTCCCTGAGACCATGATTTTTGCTTTATTCAGCCCGTTTTGAAAACCTTTGTGGACAGGACTCCAGTAATTGAGGATGTCTCCACAACTTCCTGACCCATTTTGAAACTGCACAGTTTGATTCTCCTGACACTGTACAAATCTGCTAAATTGAGATGATAGCTTAGTTTCTAGAAGACCCTTTGTGTCCATGGGATTAAGGTTATATTCAAGATTTCTTTTAGCCTGCCTTTGGGTTTGTGACAGATACTTTCTATAAGGTTTTACCTCTCAGCCCCTTTGCTGATAATGGGGTTAAAAATACCTAGTAGAGGACTCTGTAAAAATGAACTTGGGGATTCTGGAAGTAGCCTGGCAGTATAAAAGGAAGCTACTCCTCTGTAATTTATCTGAACAGGCTTTGCGGAAGGGAGGACTTTCATTATTTCTGCACAGTCACTCACTCCTTGAAAATCTGTGTTGTGCTCTTACAATGCGCCTGACGCTGGATGCACCGGTGGAGTCGTGACTGTTCTTGACCTTGGCGAGCTCAAAGTTAGAAACACCTGAGAGTATGTAGAGAGAGGGGAGTGCTTTTGAGAGTGCCTGTACTTGAGGTGGACCTTGAGATCCAGTCGTGGCTCTCCGGGTAGATAGAAGAAGATTCGGAGCAGTGGGAGTAGCCTGGGGAAAGGCTTGAGGTTGTGTGTCTTGGTGGGTCGGGCAGTTGTAAGTAGTTCACTGGGACAAGGAAGGCTGTGGGTCACGTGGAAGGGGTTTGGATTTGTTCCTGTAGGTAATGGGGAGCCGCTGATAGGCTTTAAGCGGGAGTCCTAGGCGATCTGGTTTGGCGTTTTAGAAAGCTTACTCTTTCACTTCTAGGGAATGTGGGTTGGAAGGGTGTGAGACTGAGATTAGGGGCTGTTTCAGTAAATCCCAGGCAGGGGTGATGGTGGCCTGAACCAAGGTAACAGTGGGTGGTGATGGAGATGAGGGGACAGATGTGGAGATGAGGGACAGACATGAGCAGTTGTAAGATCAACTTGATAGGACTTTGAACCAGATTTAAACAGACAGTGTGTGTGTGTATGTGTGTGCATGTGTGCGTGCACTTGATTGTTTGAACAGGAGACGGCATTTCAAGTTTCTGGAATTGACCTAGGGACTGTCTGGAGTCAGGAATGGGTGAGAGGCCTTTGAAGTTTCTATGGTGTGAGTGAAGAATACAGGATCTAGGTGCAGAATATGAAGTAGGCCAGGAACCTGGCTTGTGTATTCATTCGTTCAACAAATAATTTATTTTGTGCTGGGCATGGTTCTAGGGGGTGGAGATACAGCAGTGAACAAAACAGACAAAATTCCTGCCATGTGGTGCTTCCCTTCTAATAGGGCAGTCTGACGGTAAACAGAGAAGTAACATACAGAGTTTGTTTTGTGTTCAGTTCTAAGGAGAAAACATAAAGCAGGATGGAAGATATGGACTATGGGTATGTGTATGTGACGTGTTAGATAGGGTGGCTGGTCACTGAGAGAGAAAGTTGAAAGAACTTTCAGCATAGGACTAGGATTTTGGAAATGATCCCATAAGTGAGGGGCAATCGTTATTAAAGATAGGGAGAAATGGTGTGATTTGAGTGATGAGAATAAGGGTCCTTCCACACCACTGGGACTAACCACTGGCTGCTCAGTTTTGCCTGGGTTCATAAGCAAAAAAAAGTGAGGAGGATTGTCTCGAACTGTTGGTTTTTCCTGTCACAGGTAAGAGAGTCACAAAGACAGGAAGTGAAACTGTCAGAAGAAACCTACAGACATCTTATTCTCCTCTCTCAAATATTAGGAAGGTAGAACAAAGGTGCTCAGTCATGCCAAATCCACACCGATGATCATGTCTTTGTAGAATGAATATCTGGTAGCTGTTACATTGTCAGCTGCAGAAATAAAACAAGACTTTCCCTGCAAGCCGAGCTTTCAGGCTCATGGAGCAACTAGGGGAGAAACCACTGATGTGCATCAGAACAGATGGTGCCCTACTGGCCACTTCAGTGACCAAGACCTTCACTGTGCTAATAGGTTGCACTTAGAAGAGTTCCTGTCGCACTCCCCCTCCCCAGGCGCCCCCCCCAGGGCCACTGCTCAAACTCACGGTGGCCTGAGGCTCTCTACGCGTTAGCCTTTGCCAACAGCTGTCCCAGACCAGAAGTCTGGGTTCCCTGGTTCCCTGCCAGCTCATAGCCAGGAACCCTGGCCAAGTACCAGTTTGGGGTGCAGTTTGCTTGCTCAGGTACACCCCTTGTTTACCTGATGGCTTGGATAGCTTGTTGCCACCTAAGCACGGGTCACTGTAGTGCCAGCATGTAGCTGACAGCTCAGTGCCCCCTCTTAAGTCATGCTGAAGAGAGATTCCATGCTCACCTGCGTTCTTGAGTGGGCTCTCATGTGCACATTGAAACAGAACATCTCAGGTAGCAAGTGGCAGAGTCAAAATGAAGCAGAAAATTTGGCTTGACAACTGGGATCAGAGACCAAACAGCTGTGGAGCTGATGCTCAGGCAGTCCCTGATGACAGTTTATTCAGGCTCCTTCAGGCTAAATTATACGGCTTCCAGCAAGGAGCACACAGCTGTTAATTCTGAGGACCAGCTTGTGAGTAGAATTAGCTAGCCTTTGGCAAAGAAAGTTAAGGCTATGGTTGCTGCGTTGCCAGTGGGATGAAGACGGAAGGAGGGTAATCTTTTCAGGTAGAATTACTGGGAAAGACAAAAATTAAAAAGAAGCAAATAGAATAAGTCAAGAAATTTCAGCATTCTCTTCTACTAGGCAGCCTGGCTCAAGTAATAATTGTGTTTCTACCTGCCGGTCAATGTCACCGTGTACTTTGCTGTGGAATAATAATCCTGAAAAAAAACCCAGTGAATTTTCTATCATGTGCGCGCATGTGCCTAACTTCTCCTCTTTCTGTTGGTTGGTGATTTCAGTGTTGGTGTTTCTGTTGGGATCTTGATATTGTAAGAGTGTGATTAT